GCGTGGCGGCTCTTTGACCTAATGCTAAGGGTAAAATTGTAATTTTGCCTGCGGCGAGGCATTTGTGAAAATTAGGGTTTGTAGTTTGTAGTTTTGAGGATTTGAAATTGAATGTGTGAAGTTTTACGGACTATTGGCGCGGCGGCCAAACAGTTAGACCTAACCTTCGGATGTGTGCAATGTGACAGAAATAATAGTAAACGCGTGAGATAATTGAATCATGCAAACAGAGAGATAATGTCATAATTTAAACCATGCAAGCAGAAATTTAAAGGCAGAATTTAAAGAGCGATTGTTAAGTTCGCGAAGTTACATGAGAGGAGCAGATACAATATGATAATGAAATTTGAATTGAACAATAATAAAATAAAATAAATAACGGTTCTAGTTATTATTTTAAAAAAAAGATTTTAGTTATTATTTTAAATTTATCTAAAAAAAAGTTTTTCTTAAAAATAATAGGTTTTCATATTAATTTGGAAAAGATGTTAATGTTATTTATTTTAAAAAACAGATTTTTATATTATAACAAATTTTAATAAATTAATGATAACAATAATAATAATAATGGTAATAATAATGATAATAATGATAATAATAATAAATAATGATAGTAATAATAATAATAATAATAATAATAATAATAATAATAATAATAATAATAATAATAATAATAATAATAAAGCAATAATGAATTTTAAATATGCCAAATAACCCAACAATGTTGCTAACGCAGAAATGCGCTCATCGCAACCAGATCTAAATCGGACGAAACAAAATTTATCGCAAAGAAAAAGAAATTAAGCAAAAAATAGTATTATTGCTCACACAAAAATGCGATCATCGCAACCAGATCGAACTAACACAAATGTCACGCGTCATGCACACAAATGTGCAAACATCGTATCGACATAATTCGATCAAAAATCTTATATATATAAACTCTAACAATTTAAAAATTATATATATATAAACGTAACAGTAATAGATAAAGAAAAAGAAATAACGGTAATAGATGAAGAAAAAGAAATAACGGTAAAAGATGAAGAAAAAGAAACAACAGTAATAGATGAAGGAAAAGAAATAACGGTAAACGATGAAGAAAAAGAAACAATAGTAATGTATGAAGAATAAAACTAAATAACGGCAAACGACACTCACTCCTCTTAGGTTTTTTTCATTCTCTCCCTTTTTTCCAACAAGGCAACACATGTATATATAGGGAACAAATTAGGGTTAACACCAAATTGTCAATAATGTCCCTAAAGCCCATTTTAAAGCCCAAACTAAATAATTAGTTAAGAAAAAATAAAATTTAAATAATTTAAAATAATTAAAATAAACTTAAAATAAAAACTAATAATCCTATTGATTCCTAAAATAAAAAATATTATAAAAAGAACAAAATTTTTTTCAATATTTTTTATTTTATGATTTTTTGGATATTTTTATGAATAATTTAGAAAAAAGTGAAAAAAATAATATTTTAAAAAATGATTTAATTAAAATACGAAAATAATAATTAAATAATAATAAAAAACTATTTTTGTTATTTTTTTTAATGAAAGATAGAAAAATTTAGAGTAAAAATAATAAAAAACAAAAAAAATGACAAAGGTGAGATTCGAACTCTCAACCTCTCACACTCATAACTCCTTACACATGTCCTCCTGCCAATTGTGCCATTTTTACTTTTTATAAAAAAAATGCATGCCATATGATATTTACCTGCAAAAAGTCAAACGACTACACAAATTTGTTAGTAATTGATTAAATGCAATGAAATGCGACGACAAATCTTAGGGCAAAATTTGGGGTATTACAGTTATTATGATAATATTTCTCACCCAACCTCTCTTTGATGTTGGCAAAAAAAAAATCATGAAGTTTGACTTTGGTTTGACCACAGTTGACCTCAGTTTGACCTTTTAACTGCATTGACTGCTTTTGACTTATCTGATCATCTGACTGAGCAAACTTTTGAGAAAAGTCTTGAAACTTGACATGGGGGTTCTTATACACATATAAGATGTTATGAAGCTCACTTGAAGTCTTGGAAGTCCATTTAGCCTGATTAAAGTCAAAACCCTAGTTTTGGATGCACTGCTTAGGAGGTGCATTGTCTAAGGGAATTGTCAACTCTTCTGACCAATTGTGAATTTTGTGAACCTTGTGAACCTTCTTGGAACACAAAGTCTTGTATTGTGAGGGCAAATTTTGGGGTGCAACAGGGTGCAGTTGTGAGGGGGCTAGCTTTAGCTGATAAAAACTTCCCATTTGAGGGCCGCTGAATAGAAATCGGAGCCCTAACTCTTTAAAGGCGTACTAGTACATGCCAAAGCATTTCCCCAGGAAACACAAGCAGATTCGGTCACCCCGGCCAGGCTTAGAGACCTCCTAATTCTCCGGAGCTCCCTCAACACCCCCGCCTTCCTCGACAATTATGAATGCGCCCTCCATAAAATCTGCGAAACATGAGGCTATCCCTAGGGGTTCCGGCCCAACCCAAGCCAATTTAGGATCAATGATGGTGTTAACCAGGTGGAGTCCCTCAGTGCTGCGAGCCATAAAAACCTGAAATGCAGAGGACAATAGTGAATTCGACGATCAAATCAAATTCACCCTTCCATTGCAAATCAAGTGAAAGGACGAAGAAAGGCACCAGGACGTTGCCCTTGACCAAAACCCTTGCTCAACACGCAAGCGAGGAAGTCACGAGGATCCTCTCCTCGACGGAGGCCTCAGTCAACCTACAAAAAATCACGAGGAAAATCCTCCTCGACGCAAGGATTCATTAGAAAATAAACGGACATTCATCATAGAATCCATGAGCTTCACGGGGAAAATCCTCCTCGACGCGAGGAGTCATCAGAAAATACACAAATATTCATCATAAAATTGATAAACGTCGCGAGGAAGAATCTCTTCGACATGAAGCTTCATCAGCAACTCATGAGCTTTGCGAGGAAGACCCTCATCGACATAGAGCTTCATCGGAAAGTTCATAAGTTCCACCGGTGTAAGCCCTATTCACCGCCTGAACGGTGGTGCCAGAGTGATTTTCTACTCAAAACCAAGCTTTTATAGCATAATACTCTCCTATTGTTGGTATTTGGAAATGGCCAAACCACCACCAAACACCAACACCCGCCGGAACCCAACATGCATCCTAAAACAACCTAGATTCTAGAATTAATCTATGTTCTAACACTAACATACAAACTAAAGATTTGATGAAGAATGCTTACCTGATTTGAAGAGTAGTTGAAGTTGATTTAAAGAAAGTTGGTGAGGGTGGTGGCGACGACGACATACGGCGGAGAAACACTCTGAAGCTCGAAGGAAAGTAGAGAGAAGAGTGAATGTGAAATGTGTAAATCGTCCCCCACTTTTGCATATTTATAAACCAAATTCGGAGCATAGGTAGACGTGTATCCACCTAGCTCATCAGTGCCCCTACTCACAGGCCATAATTATGCATTAAATGACTCTGACACGCGGCCCGAGGAGACGGAACATTGTCTTTTCAAGTCCCGTCGACCGTTGCCTCGAGGAGGCGGAACGTTGTCCTTTCAAATCTTGTCGAGTACCTCATGGCCTCGACAAAAAATTTAAAGCAGATTTACGAGCAGTTTGGAAACTCGCGGATAGAGCCAAACGCTCAACGCAAGTATGTGTTAAGCTCTCGACCACAATCTCTGCGCGATGCATCTTCCTCGAAAGTGAAATTCCACGAGTTACGAGCAAAGCATCGCTCCCGCACGCGCGAGCTCGCGAACAACGACCACGACGATGCGAGCTCACAATCGCAGACTCCAAATGAAAGCTTTCCTCGCGCAGGGTCAATTTCCATTCCTCGACGCAGAAACTGACTCTAAGTCATTAACCTCATGTCTGGGGGCAACGACTTGAGGGGCTCCTGTTTTGGACTAGGCATGTGGCTGACCCAGCGTCGAGTACAATCCAATCCAATCCTACGTTGAGGACGACTCAGAGTGCTGGCCAAACCCGTCTGGGTTAGTAGAAGACACATTCCCCACGTGCTCCTTGCCCGATGACACGCCACCAGCCGACTCGCACGCCTCGTGGAACCTTTATGCCATTCGCAACAGGTAAGTCCGTCCACTAGTCGAGGAATGCGAAGCGGTTAACCCAGGACGATGAGCACAAACTGCTCATCCCTGCATCCACGCAGGAATCCTGCTAGTCATCCGTGGTGGGTTTGGACACTCAATCCAGAACGGAGATCATTGACTCAGTGCTGAAGGCTCACTATAAAAACCCTCCTTTGCAGGAAGGTCAGATATTATATTCTTACCCTTTCTTACTCACCTCTTTATCCGAACTAACTTAGGTATCAGAGTGTCTGCAGATACTCTTTTCCCATTTTTTCGCTGATCATTTAAGTCTACTAACGTGTTGCCGACCACCTATCAACCGATTAAATAACATATTAATACAAGTTTGAGTTTGATAACTTTATTTTTGTTAAAACAATAAAAAAAAATTAGTTGAGAAAATAAGGAATCATTTTGCGTTGTGATTAAATGAAAAGACATTTGTGATTAGATGAATGACATGCATTATGCTAAATTATATTGATATTTTAAAATGACTGATTCGTAAACAAAACAAGAGAGCCATATCATCATAGTGCATGGCGTTGTAGGACTATGATTCACGTAATGGCAACGCAAAATGATTGTCAGTTCCGTGAATCAATCGGTAGACCAAACCATGTTAGTAGAGTAACATTCAATTTCGACAGATAGATAGCCACATGTTATGAAGCAGCAACACAGAACAGAACCCTACACCCCACCGCACTCAATTATTACAATTATCGGCGCTCACGTGATGCAATTTACTCTTCTTCTTCTAAATGACGTTTTTACCCCTAACACTTCCCGCTATTCACAAATCTCTCCCTCTTCGTTTCCATCGCCATTCGCGTGGTTCTTCCTCCGACACCGTTCCATCGACACACAGTAGAACTGAAAATGGCGACGGAGAAAGTTTTCAACGGAAGAGAAGAATTTAGCGATTCGTCAAACACGTTCCATTCAATTCTATCATTATCGTTGTGGTTAGGATGGATTCACTTCAACATTGCTTTGGTCCTCTCCGCTATATTCTTACTTCCTCTCTCCAAATCTCTCTTGTTCGTTTTCTATCTCTTTCTCTTTTTCTCCTTATTATCATTATTATTCATTTTTTGTTCCGTAATTTTGTTGATATTTTCGTGTGATAGGGTTATAGGTTTTCTGTTATTGTTCGTGGTGCTTCCACTGGGAGCTAAGAGTAAATTTGGCAGAAGATTGTCTAGGTAGATTTTCACTTTCGTTAAACTTTTTGCTTTTTCGTAACGTGTAATTTGAGCTTTTTCCTCTTTTTTGCTGTGTTAAAATAAAAATATCTTTTTTGTTGTTGTTTTGGTTTATGTAATTTTCAGGTACATATGTAAACATGCTTGTAGTTACTTTCCAATCACGCTTCATGTGGAGGATATAAAAGCCTTTGATCCTAATCGTGCTTATGGTTTGTACTTTGTACCCAAAAATTAACAATTGAGTTGTTTTTTTTTGCTGCATGAATTATGTTTTTTTTGTTAAATGACAAGATAAATTGGGAAAAGAGAGGAAATTGAAAGCCTTATTTGCTATTTTTTTTAACGACCCTACTTGTTTTTATGTTCCTAGGCTTTGTTTTAGGAAGAAAATTAACATAGGAAAGTGGGGGGAATGGGGGATAGATAACTGTTGATTTGGATAATCATTTCCTGTAATGAGAGCTTGGTGAAGACTGTGGAAAGTTTGGTTGTTGATTAAAATTTAAACCGAATAGGAAGCTTAAGTGTTAATCAAGTGTGATCTGTAATGCTTGAAGTAGTAATTGCAGTATTTGTACGTACCATACATTACTATTTTTTAGTATATTAGTAATTACCTTTTTTTTTTTTCCCTTCTCCTGTTTTCCACAAAGCAATAGAGAAATGTCTTTTTCTTCTTAATGTACTCATTTTCTCATTTTTGGGTGCTTAAATTTAATCCATTCTTCTTCCAAGGGTGCCTCAGCTTAGGATGCTATCTCACTGAGACCCTTTTTTAAGAAAAAAAGTCTAGCATTATAACAAACAATGATCAATTGAATTCCTTCAGATTTTTTCTTTGGCAGTTGCTTTCATTGCTCAACTGGATTCCTTTTATGTTCATGTATACTGTATTAAGGCTGGCCATTAAATTTGGATTGCCATATTAAGTAGACTTGGTGCTCTGTAGTTGATGACATTGACTATCATTTCATCTGTATTTTAGTAATCAAGATTGGCCTTTTTGCATAATTACTTTTAACAAAAAAAACCCAAATATGACTTGTCATGTTGAATTGACTTCTTGCTTAATCTTGGCCTAAACTATATCAGAAACATGATTTACTAGTTTTAACCCAGCATTTTATTTGGTTCATCTGAGTTGATGGAGATTTCCCTATATGTACCTAGTACAATTTACAATGAGCTTTATACTTTCCTATTTGAGCCACATGAAATTCCTAGTTTTCTATAATTGCTCTTTTAGAAATTCAAAGCAACTGTTGCTTCAGTTTCTCTACTTTTTCTCGTTATTGTGGTATTTTCTGTTGAAAGGGTTTTTCAAACTCAATTTTGTCTTCAATATTTGACCTATATTACTAATAAGTAATAAGTCATTGGTTATACTGCTTTGGTGTATCTTCTTGTTAGTTGCTCATTGATAGTAACAACAGTGGAACGAACGTGCAGTTTTTGGTTATGAACCACATTCAGTTTTGCCAATTGGCGTTATTGCACTAGCTGACAACACAGGTTTCATGCCTATTCCAAAAGTTAAAGTTCTTGCTAGCAGTGCGGTAAAATTTTTTCTTGAGGCACTAAAGTTTAATAATACTTACTGAGGATTCCATTATAAGTTTTTCTCTTCACATTTGAATGATAGGTGTTCTACACACCATTTTTAAGACACATATGGACATGGTTGGGTCTTACAGCTGCGTCAAGGAAAAATTTTACCTCCCTGTTATCTGCTGGCTATAGTTGCATTTTAATACCTGGTGGAGTTCAAGAGACATTTCTCATGCAACATGGTTCTGAGGTGCATTGCTTTTTGCCCTCATCTTACTCAATACTCATGTGATTTTTCTCCCATTTTGACCTGTCGAGTGATAATTTTTTTCTTCCTATAATAAATGAAAGTGTTCATTCCCTCCAGATATAGGATTGTTTTTTATGCAAAGTTCAATAATAGGTTTGTGCAGGAATTTGTTTAGCTTTCAAATCACTTCGGCTTGTTTGTGAATTGTACATGTTTTGAATTTCAATTTATGTTTTTCTTCCTATAATAAATGAAAGTGTTCATTCCCTCCAGATATAGGATTGTTGTTTATGCAAAGTTCAATAATAGGTTTGTGCAGGAATTTGTTTAGCTTTCAAATCACTTCGGCTTGTTTGTGAATTGTACATGTTTCGAATTTCAATTTATGTTAGTCTTTTCCTATTATATTTCATATTTTATTTAGACTAGAGGAAAGGGAATTCTGTTCTTTTTAGTTGGAGTTTAAGATAAATAACCAGAAATCATTCAGCCTGCTTTATTGTGTTTCTTGCGTTTTGACATAAAAATCACAGTCTGAGTTGAGTCTGCTGTATCGTTTATAAAAGATAAAATTGTGATTAACCACGGATATTACACAAAGCATACATCAATTTTCAGTATCTAGCCTCCTAAGAGTCTGTGTTGCCTATCAAACAAAAAGGTACTGTCCAAAAAGCATTGGTTCTAGGTCGGACTGAATTTTTATACCGTTTCTATATGTAGGAAGACGAGGTCTATCCATTAAAGGATGACATCCTTGTGTCTTATAGTTTCATAGATGTTAACAAGATAACTTGAAAATTTTTACTTTATAGATTGTTTATCTAAAGTCAAGAAGAGGTTTTGTCCGCATAGCAATGGAGAAAGGCCATCCCTTAGTTCCAGTTTTCTGCTTTGGTCAGGTACTTATTTCTTCTCTTGATCTCTTATGTTACTGTATGCGTGTCATTTCTATACCCGTCAAGTCAACTTCATTTTTTCTGCTCTTTTGTTTTTGTTTTACATGACTTATTCTTTTCATAAGTTGAAGATAACTATCCTTTCTGGTGTAACTTTGATACAGTCAGATATCTACAAGTGGTGGAAACCTGGTGGAAAGTTCTTTCTGAACTTTTCTAGAGCTATCAAGTTCACCCCAATATATTTTTGGGGTATTTTCGGGTGCGTGTTTCTTTTACGTGTCAATTTGCAATCTGCCCTGTTCATTCTGCTTGAATTTCAACCTGTACAATTGACTGAATTGAAGAAGATGGAATAATAGAGTAAAAGATCTTTAAGATGTTGAACTTTGCCTTCCACATTCACAATGCTATTTACACACATTATTGACTACAAAAGCAATTGGCATCTAATATAGAAGCAACGGTAAAAATGAGGTCAGTTTTTGTTGGAAATATGCTTAAACTTTTTGCTAAAATATGACTGGAAAAGTTGGATTCCATTGATGCAGTTCAGGATGTATGCCTTAATGCCTTTTCCGATCTGCTATCACTAATAGTAACTGGCAAGCTCTTTTTCTTGGAAACTTTTCCCTTCAGAATAATTGATTTGAGTAGAGTAGCCAATTATTGTACACAACCAGAGTCTAAACTGTAGTTAGCTTGGAAGTTAGTTCATCTCTTAAACATGTTTTATTTAAACAAATCATCTCGTCTCCTTTTTCAGATCCCCAATACCGTTTAGGCGTCCAATGCACGTGGTGGTAGGTAGGCCAATTGAACTCAAGAAAAATCCAGAACCAACCACGGAGGAGGTATGCACTATCTTAAAGCCTTTTTATGTTAAGTAGGATTGACAAGGATCCAGTAGTTAGAACCTCTCCTAAGTTAAAATGCCTCAATTTTATTTCTCAATAACTAGTTTTCAAGATGTCTTATTCTTAGCTTTGAGTAACATGCAATATACTTTCATAATCAAGAACTAATTACAAATATGTAAATGTGATAACCGGCAACAAACTGTTTCTAAATGAGAGAATTCTTGTTAGTGTATCATGGATATATGCAAATGCTGGTGGTTTAGCTGGTCGAAATACTGGTTTCTTATATTTATTCAATCCTGCTTTTAGGTTGCCAAGATACACAGTCAGTTTGTGGAAGCACTTCAAGATCTCTTCGAAAGGCACAAAGCTCAGGCTGGCTATCCCAGCCTTGAGTTAAGAATTGTTTGATTAGGCCTTAATATCGTCCTATGTATTTCACTGGTTTATTAATGTATTTTTTGTTAGCATCTTTTATAAGGAGGGGGTTGGTCTATGTAATTGGGTTATGTATTGCATGCACTAATAAAAGACCACCACCCTGTGGGGGTAATTGAATAGAAGTGATAATGCGTATGAGGTGGTGGTGACCTCCATTGCACTTAGGTGCAGCCTACATAATTTGTTGATGTGGCGGCCTGCGATCACACAATCTCCTTGAAAAAAGAAAGAAAGAAAAAGTGGTGGTATCTTTGGTCAGGTTATCTATTATTTCAGTATAATATACTGAATGTTTGAAAAAAAATTCCTGATGTAATGGTTGACTTGTGTAAAAAATGTAATTGTTGACTTTGCTTTCATCTGACTTAGGTTACAAATTCATGTTGCAAAGCAACAATATAAAATTCAAGTGGCTAATAAAATTTAGCTTTAGACTAATTGGTCAGGAAAATCTGCATTCAAATTCTGATTGGAACAGTCATTTATCAGATTTAATTTATCTCTGGATGGAGTTATAGATTATCAAACACATACAATTGATAGAATTGAAGAATATTTTAAAGACGGTATATTTTGTATTTTTAAAATTTGTGTTCATTTTAATTTGAGCAAAGATCTTTAAAGTGAAATATTATAATAAGGAGAAGATGAAATTCCAATTAGAGATGATGCATTTAAAAAAATAATGTTTTAACCTTTTCTTTGTTTTTAGAAAGTGCTGACAACTGTTCACTTTTAAGTATTATTTTATCTCTTTATTGTCAATGAAATTAATATAAATTTTAGGAAATGAAAATGAAAAATATTTTGTCAAAGTAGATTGGTGGAATTTATTAGTATGAGATTGTTCTAATAATAATAAGGTTTAAATATATTTTCAGTTCATATAAAAACGTTCTTAAATATTTATTCTCTCAAATTAAAATCTATGCTTAGACAATGAAAATATTTCACAGTTCTGCCAAATAATAAATTTGTACAAGGATATAGCTCTATACTACTCGAGCAAATTATATATCTAAAGACTAATTTAGTGAACATAGTTAATCAGCTGTAGCAAGTCTATTATGAGATGTAGATAGTGTCACTGGAAAACATTTTACTATCAAGTTAAGTCATTTCACAACTTGATATTTGTTCTTGGGTAGTGTTGACTCTACTTTAACTTATGAAATTTTGTACAATGGGTAAATGTTAGATGTTTCAAAATGTCTCTGCTGACATACATATGTGTCCGAAGTAGAATGCCTAAAAACTAGTACCAATTTAGGAATATGGATTAATTTATCAGTAGAGACATTTACGTACATTGTGGTGTGACTTTTTCCAGGTGATTAGTGTTTAGATAATGATATTGTATTTGTTTCTCCTTAGGGCAAGTTCTCTATAACACAAAGGTCCCATCTGGGCGATGTCTCATGGGGCAGGGACTCTCGACTCGTCCTTACATAGAGTTTTCACAGATATATCACTATAAATTTCAATCGAGGAAAAACGTAGTGTAATTTTCAATATTGAAAATCTAAAAAATGTTATTACTACGGATTGAATCCATGTTCAGTTCCACTTTTTCCTTTGCTTGACAGTTTAACTAGGAGAAAAGTGACATACTTTTCATAACACTCTTCGTTACCTCGTATACCAAACTGAGGTAAAACCTCTTTTCCAACCGAAATAAAAATACTTATTCATAGTAGTGATATAAATTCTCCTCCTATCACCTTTTCTAAGATTAACCTTGGAGAGAAACTCGTGGGCCGTGGCGAATAATATATGTAATCATGTTAATCTTTAATTTGAATAGGTGCACATGACATAATGACGTTTTAAGTAGTAATAAAAATTAGTATACAACACGTTTTGTCTTGTAGAACATGTATGATGTTGGAGAACAATATTCTAGCATAGTAGAAAGAGCACAAAGATCAGTTGGACAAATCTTAATACACATAACATAACGCTAAATACACAGTTTCTCACCTCATGTGAGCTGATTCTCTCTTATCACCGTGAAATCCATCATTAAACATGATATCTCACCACCGTGAGCATACCCTAATCACCAGTTACTACAAAGGCATATGAGTATATCCTACCTCAGTAGGGATACCGCACACCCATGTACTTTTTGACAAGTATAATGGCGTCAACCGTGGGCCCTAGTAAAAGTAACTTGTGTTTCACTTTTTGTTACAATCATCATACTCACTACACCCTTTTTTCCTGTACCATCCATTCCTAAACATGGTAAACAGGAACCTCCACCCCCTATGCCAGAAGACATTGGTGGTACCAGTGATGTCAATGCTCTAGCGGAGATGCGTGTTGTCATGGATGAACTTCACCATCAAAACCAGAGCTCGAAGGACAACGTCTTCCACATCCGACAACACCAACAAGAGACCAATCCTCTAGATGAGGCAAAGGTCATGGACCCCTAACCACTTTCGAAAGAAATATGGGAAGCACTTGTCCTTGAAGGGTTCAAACCTCCCTCTTTGGAAAAGTTTATGGGCGTAGTGATCCCTACGAACACATCGCCTCTATCAATACCTAGATGGACATCATCAGAACACCTGGCTCCCTGAAGGGCAAATTACTATCTGAAACCTTCAAGAACGCAACCTTGCGATGGTACATGGGTGTATCCTGAGCCTTAATCTCTAGCTACCAGGAGCTAGCGAGGAAAATCGTACATTAATTCGCCAACAACAGACATAGAAAGATGTCCACCACCAGCCTGCTCAACATACGACATGATCCTTCAAAATTGTTAAGGGGATATCTCTCACGCTTCAATGAAGCTACCATAAGATTATTCCTTCAAACCAAGAAATGTTCGTAGGGGCGTTCCAAAATGATATCAAGGCAGAACACTTGAACGAATTTCTCACCCATAAACCAGCCTGTTCGCTAGCAGAAGTGGTTGCGAGTCCAGTCAGTTTAAACAAGTTGGGTCTAAACGGGTTGCAGGTCGAAAAAAAATAAAAACTAAAAATGAAATGTTAACCTTCCATCTAAAGCATGGAAATATGAGAGATTAAAGAACATGAAGCGAATAATAAGAAATGAAAGGAAAATGATTAGAACCATAAATTAAAAAAAGTCAAAATTAGGATGGTAATAATGAAGAAATGTAGGCATGAACCTTATAATAAAAAAAGAAGAAGAAACAGATTAATGAACTTTCATAAATATGAAGGATTGTAGTGTGGGAGGTTGAGAGAGGTAACAGTCAAGGTGAAAGAGTGAAGGTGAGAGGGGGTGGCTGGATCTGGAATTAGGGTTTGAGAGAGCCAAAAGAGGAAATAAACACTGAACCATTAATGTGTAAATGAAGTGAGATATTTATTAATCACTAGTAAAATAACATTAAAACTACGTTCTATCATTTGGGTGGGTTTGGGGTACCTGCGGTTCTATTTCTCATACTCAGACTCGCACGTATGCACCTAACTCAAATCATTATTTGGGCCCCGTTGAATCGAAGGCCCATCTAAAACCACCCAAACCTCTTTTTTCTTCTGGTTTTTATGGATTGGACTGGGCTGCGGGCCCTTGTTCATCCCTACTAAAATTAAGAAAAGACTCATCAAAATGGTATAGATCGTATTACTCATAAACCAAAATCCAACAACAAGGACAAAGACAACGATAATATTGTCATAAAACACATGACTCAATGGGAGAGTGTTAGATTAGAAGATGAAGCAATATCATCATCAATGTTAGGCAAAAATTAAGTTGAATCTTTATTGTATTCATCAAGTTCATCAAATGTGTTAATAACAAAAAAACAACAATACAATGTATAACAATATGTGTGCCATTATGCTGGCAAATGTTGGCGACCCTTTTTCTCCAATATCCACATCGAGCTTTCATAGTAGAGAGCTTCCTTCCGTTAGAATATGATTGACCAATATAATAACTAACCTTTTTTTAAAAAAAAGTGATGACTTCATTTAACAACCGAGTACAATGGGTACTCTAACCCGCAATACACAAAAGGAAAAACTCTCACTACCTTCTAATATAACTTAAAGGAGAAGAAAACCAATTAAAAATGTTACAATTTAGATTATTTTTGCAATCTAAAGTTGCCCACTTCCAAGAGAAGAATTTAATGGACAATAAGCAATCCTTCAAAATTGAAAAAGCCATCTTGATAGATGATTGCATTCCTTGAAAGCCAAAGGTTCCAGATTGTTGATAGCCAGATCAAACTAGAAATATCTCAACCATCAAATCTCTTCCGTTGATGGCAATGAAAAATGAAACTAGACGGTCTCCAATCTAGACCTCCATTATGCTATCCAACCCAATTCTGCACAACATCCCAGTCTTCTAGCAATTTGACAGTAGAAAAACAAATGATGGTTGTTTTCATCCTTATGGAAACACAAGACATAACATCTACTATTTACATTATCTCTTTCTATAATATACATTTCATCAATTAGTCTCTAGTTGAGAGCTTGTTGAGAATCACTTTCCAACCAAGAATAAGCGCTTTGGAGAGGGCTTTGACCTGCCACAAGTTTGACAACCCAACAGACTGATCTTCACTAAGAAAAACTTTATTGGCTCTACTAACCATTTATGCATAACAAGAGCTAACAGTGTAAACATTAGATTTATCAGTTATCCAAGTGAAGTTGTCCTTGAAAGAAGAAGTTGGCTCCACATCCTGCAACAACACTCTCAATTTCTCCACATGATCAGCTACTACGCCACCAACATCTCCAAGGCTATCATGCCAATTCCAAATCCAATCTGGCCGAAGCCTTTCCCCTAATTCTACAATACTCTCTCCATTCTCTTTTATAAGCAAATTTTGACTTTTTAGATTCATTGAATAAATGATGTTTTTGGATAATATATAGTCTAGATACATTAATTATTTAATGAATCTAAAAAGTAAAAATTTGCTTATAAAAGAGAATGGAGGGTTTACCCGCTAAGGAATT